GTGTGTGTGAGTGTATAGAGGTGTGTGTGTAGGTGTGTGTAAGTGAATAGAAGTGTGTGTGTAGGTGTGAGTGTATAGAGGTGTGTGGAGGTGTGTGTGAGTGTGTGTGAGTGTATAGAGGTGTGTAGGTGTGTGTGAGTGTGTAGAAGTGTGTGTGTAGGTGTGTGTGTAAGTGTATAGAGGTGTGTGTGTAGGTGTGTGAGTGTATAGAGGTGTGTGTAGGTGTGTGTGAGTGTATAGAGGGGTGTGTGTAGGTGTGTGTAAGTGTCTAGAGGTGTGTGTGTAGGTGTGTGTAAGTGTATAGAGGTGTGTGTGTAGGTGTGTGTAAGTGTCTAGAGGTGTGTGTGTAGGTGTGTGTGAGTGTATAAAGGTGTGTGTGTAGGTGTGTAGAGGTGTGTGTATGTGTGTGTAAGTGTATAGAGGTGTGTGTAGGTGTGTGTGTAGGTGTGTAGAGGTGTGTGTGTATGTGTGTGTAAGTGTATAGAGGTGTGTGTAGGTGTGTGTAAGTGTATAGAGGTGTGTGTGTAGGTGTGTGTAAGTGTATAGAGGTGTGTGTAGGTGTGTGAGTGTATAGAGGTGTGTGGTGTGTGTAGGTGTGTAGTGTATAGAGGTGTGTAGGTGTGTGTGAGTGTATAGAGGTGTGTGTGTAGGTGTGAGTGTATAGAGGTGTGTGTGTAGGTGTGTGTAAGTGTATAGAAGTGTGTGTGTAGGTGTGAGTGTATAGAGGTGTGTGTAGGTGTGTGTGAGTGTGTGTGAGTGTATAGAGGTGTGTAGGTGTGTGTGAGTGTATAGAAGTGTGTGTGTAGGTGTGTGTGTAAGTGTATAGAGGTGTGTGTGTAGGTGTGTGAGTGTATAGAGGTGTGTGTATTTGTGAGTGTATAGAGGTGTGTGTAGGTGTGTGTAAGTGTAAAGAGGTGTGTGTGTGAATGTATAGAGGTGTGTGTGTGTAGGTGTGTGTGAGTGTATAGAGGTGTGTGTAAGTGTCTAGAGGTGTGTGTAGGTGTGTGTAAGTGTATAGAGGTGTGTGTGTATGTGTGAGTGTATAGAGGTGTGTGTAGGTGTGTGTAGGTGTGTGTGAGTGTGTGTGAGTGTATAGAGGTGTGTAGGTGTGTGTGAATGTATAGAGGTGTGTGTAAGTGTCTAGAGGTGTGTGTAGGTGTGTGTAAGTGTATAGAGGTGTGTGTGTAGGTGTGAGTCTATACAGGTGTGTGTAGGTGTGTGTAAGTGTATAGAGGTGTGTGTAGGTGTGTGTAAGTGTAAAGAGGTGTGTGTGTGAGTTTATAGAGGTGTGTGTGTGTGAGTGTATAGAGGTGTGTGAAAGTGTCTAGAGGGGTGTGTAGGTGTGTGTAAGTGTCTAGAGGTGTGTGTGTAGGTGTGTGTAAGTGTCTAGAGGTGTGTGTAGGTGTGTGTAAGTGTATAGAGGTGTGTGTGTATGTGTGTGTAAGTGTATAGAGGTGTGTGTGTATGTGTGTGTAAGTGTATAGAGGTGTGTGTAGGTGTGTGTAAGTGTACGGAGGTGTTCGGGTGAGTAACCCTGGCAGCGTAACGCTGCTGGCGTCTCGTGCTGCCGCCTGTACCGCGCCTTGTCCACCAGAGGGCATCGCCTACACACGGGTTGTGTGGCGTCAGGGTGAGAAGTGGAGGGTGGGGGAGGGGTCCGGGGGGGGGGGGGCTGCTGCTGCAGCGCTCAGCTGAAGCAGCAGCCGCTGAAAGTCACCGTAAACGTGAACACAATCAGTTAAGATCCGAAATGGTTTATTACGTCCTTCCAATGATTGCTAAGCCCAAATCCATCTTCTCGGTTGAAATTGTCGTTGATGAGGCGATCCACATATACAAACACAGAGACAGTATATAATTTAATGTTGGGTTTGTCTATGGCAGTATATAGTACGGTGTAGACTCGTGTGATGAAAGAGAATAAAGTTTAGATGGAAGCATATTATATAATTTTTACGACGTAGAATTGTAATGTATTACTTACTGTTAGTAACTCAGCTTATTGTAGAGTATAGTAAGTATACTGATGATACTATGTGGTTTATACTTTAGTTGTTTACGTGTTGGTTTTAGTTGTTGCAGCTACATACTGTTAACACTCCTTCCCTTTATTAATGCTACCCCTATCCCCTCCCTTTGATGCTGAATTAGTACTATTCACATACCTGCATTTCCCATATCCTCTCCCTTTGATACTGCTAATCCTGCATAATGCACAGGTATATGTAGTACTAATCACATTCCTGCATTTCCCATGGAAATGTTAAATTCCTCTTGATATGCAAATTCCTTTGTCAAGGCGCCCAGCTTATATATATGCTCCAAGCTCGTGTGGTGTTTCATTCAGACGCTGTCGCCTCGACAGACCTGGTTTTCACCTGAGGACGGCTGCTTGCATTGTGGCCGAAACGTCGTGAGAATTATTTTATTATGTTTATTTTATTTTATTACTTCCCTTCTACGTGACTTTACCGAAAGAACCAAGAAGATGAATCACTGCAGTCACGAAAGCTTTAAATCGAGATGTAGAGGTGTTACGTACCGGGGTGTAGCAAGCCATTACGTTGCGGTGTCTACATCACGGTCCGTGCGTGGGGTGTCTACATCAACGTCCGCATACAGCCCCGCCCCTCGGGGGGCAGTTGGCTATATAAGGCGGTGCGCGAGAGAGCTCGAGGCAATCGTTGGAGCAGAAGAGCCAGTGGCGACTGAAGACCAGCTAGCTAGCCCTGGGACTACCCTGACTCGCTGCTCTTATAAGAGCCGAGCAGGGCAAGCCAGGGGCGACCTCAGAGCAGCGAGGTCTGTGTCCTTGTGAGGGCCAGGCTCGTGTGGCTGAGGGTCGGACCTGAGCCGAAGCTGGGCCAGGTCAGTGAGCCTCTACAGTAAAATGAAAAACAATTAAATATTCGTTTATTGTGTGGATGAGTGGGTGCGTGCATGTGTGGATGAGTGGGTGCGTGCGTGAGTGGGTGCGTGGGTGGATGAGTGAGTGGATGGGTTGATGCGTCATAGGTGAGTCGCTGAGTGAGTGAGTGGCTGGGTGCATGAGTGTGGGTTAGTGATTGAGTGGGTGGCTTAGTGAGTGGGTCAGTGTATGAATGGCTCAGTAGTTGAGTGGGTGCGTGTGAGTGGCTCGGTGGTTGAGTTCGTGGGTGGTTGAATGTTTTGGTGGTTGAATTATTGGGTGGTTGAGTGATGGGTGGGTGGGTGAATAATTACGTGGTTAGTGGGTGAGTTGCTGAGGGAGTGGCCGGCCGGGTGGTTGGGCGAGAGGGTGGGTTAGAAATTGAGTGGGTAGCATGGTGAGTGGATGTGGATGTGACTGGGTGAGTAGGTGAGTGGCTGGGTGAGTATGTGAGTGGATGGATGAGTGAGGGGGTGAGTGGGTTTGTGGATGAGTGAGTGTGTGGGTAGGAATGAAACACCACCACGCTTGGAACGTATATTTAAGCTGGGTTGGAAGGGGGGAAGGCCGCCTTGACAAAATAATTTGCATATCAAGAGGAATTTAGCATATTTATGGGAAATGCAGGTATGTGATTACTACTACTTGTGAAATGCGTAGGAGGTGGGCGGGGGGTTTAAAGTCATATTATGCCCGTTGATTATGCAGGATTAGCAGCATCAAAGGGAGGGGATAGGGGTGACATTAATAAAGGAATGTTAATAGTATGTAGCTGCAGTAACTAAACCACCACGTAAACAACTAAAGTATAAACTACGTAGACATCTCTAACGGCCAAACTGCCAGTGGCGCGAGACGCGGGGGCGGTACAAGGTAACCACGCCCCCCCGTGATGTCACAGCCATGAGCTCCTCCCCCCATGCCCCTCCCCCTCACCCCCCATGCCCCACCCCCCTCCCCCCATGCCCCGCCCTGCCTCCCCTCGCGACCACCTTCCATGTCCCCTCCCCCCCTCGCGAATCCCCATGCCCCTCCCCCTCACCCCCCATGCCCCACCCCCCTCACCCCCTATGCCCCACCCCCTTCCCCCATGCCCCTCCCCCTCACCCCCCATGCCCCCCCTCACCCCCCATGCCCCACCCCCCTTCTCCCATGCCCCTCACCCCCCATGCCCCCCCCTCACCCCCCATGCCCCCCCTCACCCCCCATGCCCCACCCCCCCTCCCCCCATGCCCCTCCCCCTCACCCCTCATGCCCCACCCCCCTCCCCCCCCATTGCCCCTCCCCCCCATGCCCCATGCCCCACCCCCCTCCCCTTTATGCCCCTCCCCCTCAACCCCCCCATGCCCCTCACCCCCCATGCCCCCCCCCTCACCCCCCATTGCCCCACCCCCCTTCCTCCATGCCCCTCACCCCCCATGCCCCACCCCCCTCCCCCCCCATGCCCCTCCCCCTCACCCCCCATGCCCCTCACCCCCCATGCCCCCCCCTCACCCCCCAATGCCCCACCCCCCTCCCCTTCATGCCCCTCCCCCTCAACCCCCATGCCCCTCACCCCCCATTGCCCCACCCCCCTCCCCCCATGCCCCTCACCCCCCATGCCCCACCCCCCTCCCCCCCATGCCCTCCCCCTCAACCCCCCATGCCCCTCACCCCCCATGCCCCCCCCTCACCCCCCATGCCCCACCCCCCTCCCCCCATGCCCCTCCCCCTCAACCCCCCATGCCCCTCCCCCTCAACCCCCATGGCCCCTCACCCCCCATGCCCCACCCCCCTTCCCCATGCCCCTCACCCCCCATGCCCCACCCCCCTCCCCCCATGCCCCTCCCCCTCAACCCCCCATGCCCCTCACCCCCCCATGCCCCACCCCCTCACCCCCCATGCCCTCACCCCCCATGCCCCCCCTCACCCCCCATGCCCCACCCCCTTCCCCCATGCCCCTCACCCCCCATGCCCCCACCCCCTCACCCCCCATGCCCCTCACCCCCCCATGCCCCACCCCTCACCCCCCATGCCCCTCACCCCCCAGTGCCCCCCCCTCACCCCCCATGCCCCACCCCCCTCCCCCCGCTGCCACTTCCGCTGGGTTCGAGTGGAGGCGGCGCGCGCTGTGCATTGTGGGTGGCGAGCAGCTGGTTTGGATTCCCGCTCACGGCCACCGTCAGTGGCGAGCGAGCGCTTCTGAAGCGGCGGCTCGCTGGGCCTCCTCTGCGTCGACTCAGCCTGAAGGTGAGAACCTCGCGCGGTGTGTCCACATCAGCAGTGGCGGCGGCGGTGGGAGGAGACAGAGGAGGCGCCTGGCCCACAGCCGTCACGTTCTGCGGAGTTCACGGCGCAGCTTCAAGCAGAGCTCGGCCCTGCTGCTGCTGCTGCTGCTGTTGTGGTTACATTATAGTTGTGGTTACATTATAGTTGTGGTTACATTATAGTTGTGGTTACAGTTGTTGGTCGTGGTTATTGTTGTGATTATAATTGTGTGGTTGTTACTGTGGTGGCTGTGCAGGTGGTGGCACACGAGTTAACCCATAGCACCAGGGTCTAGCCCTCCTCTTGTACCGAGCCAGGCAGAGCAGTCGGCCCATGGCACCTGAGTCTGGCCCGTGACCTTCTCCTGCACTTAGCCTGGCACAGCCGTCAAACCATGGCACCTGGGTTATTGTGGTGACGTCATCGCCACGTAGTGGTGAATGGCTACTGTTGATGTGTGTGGGATTGTTTGTGAGTATGATGGTGAATGCGTGAGTATGATGGTGAGTATCATGGTGAGTGTGATGGTGAGTATCATGGTGAGTGTGATGGTGAGTGTGTGGTGAGTGTATCATGGTTGGTGAGTAATACTGAGTGTGAGTTTGACTAAATATCTTCCCTCTCGCTGTCTCTGCTTTCCCCCCTAACTACCTCGCCTGGTATACAGGAGTTTGTAGGTTCGATCCCGACCCTGATGCCTGCTGTATATTTGGAGTTTGCGTGTCTCTGTCTCTCCCCGTGGTCGCGTGGATTTTTCTCCAGGTCCTCTGGTTTTTCTCTCCACATTAAGATACATTCGTTTAAAGTTTTGACTTAAAACTTTCGTGACTGCAGGAATTAATATTCTTGGTTCTTTCGGTAAAGTCACGTAAATAGAAAACAAAAACAAATCTATTTTTTTAAGTTAAAAAAATAAGATAAATTGAAAATAATAAAAAGCAATTTATTCGATTTATTTGCATTACTCATTTTTTGGGGGGTTTTCTATTTACGTGACTTTACCGAAAGAACCAAGAATATGAATATTCGTTTAAAGTATTTGGCTGCTATAATTTACACGTGATGACGAGCCACTTCGTTGAGCTATTATTGGTGCCAAGTCGCTTCTGAATAAGTAATATTTAAAAGTACTTTTTTTTTAAAAACACGCTTTAATTAAATTAAATGTACCACGACTCCAGGAAGTGGCCCCGAGGCTTGCCATAACGTAAGGGGCCCTGGTGATTTACAGCCAACGTCAGTTGAGCGTGGACAATTAGACCCAAGCTGAAACATCATAAAAATGAATGTTTAAAAATACTTTTTTTTATAGAATGTAGTTTTGTCATCAGTACGACATAAGTATACCAAGTTTGCAGTCGATACCACATTGGGAAGTGGGTTAAAATTGAGTTGCAAGATTTGAGGATACGACAACAACAGACAGTGAGTTAAATAAAAGTGCGTAATAAAAGAGATGTTTATCTCAGTGGACCTTACCTGGTGAAATGAAAATCGTTGAGATTTTAGTCTAGTTTTATCTCTCCTTCCCGAGCACAACAACAAGCAGGAGTAGTGGGAGGAGCATTCTCCACTAACGGCGCTTGTGCCAGGATATGTACACCACAGATATCCATCACATAGAGACCCAGAGAGTCATCACACATAGACCTATACACTCACTACGCACAGACCCTCAGACTCGCACAGAGGTCTATAGACTCACCACACAAACACATGGACTCACCACAGAGCCCCATAGACTCACCACAGCCCCATAGACTCACCCCACAGAGACCCATAGACTCACCCCACAGAGACCCATAGAGTTATACAAAAACGCATAGACTCATCACACAGAGAACCACCGATTCAAACAGACTCGCACAGAGCCCTATAGACTCACAAAGCAGAGACACATAAACTCACCACACAGACACATAGACTCACCTCACAGAGACCCACGGACTTTCACAGAGACCCATAGACTCACCACACAGAGATCCATAGACTCACAGAGAGACCCAAGGGCTCGCACGTGAATGTGTGGTGATTTAGTTGAAGGTGGAGGGGGGTTACCAGCCCCTCGCACCCATCCAGAACTCCCTGTGGCCACTGGTGGCTGCGGGCGACGTGAGGTTCACAGCTGGTCAGGGTTGGCGCCCCCCCCCCCCCCCCCAAAATGGCATCTCTCACAACCACCGCTGCATTATCAACCGTCACCATTCGCCAATAAGTGACAGTGACGTCACCACAGCGCCTGTGCCAGGCCAGGTGCACTTTGAAGCCACGTGAAGTGTCGAAGGCTCGCTGACCGGAGGTCCTGGAACAGACCCAGGTGCCATGGGTTGGCTGACTGAGATGACTGGCAGCACCACCTGTACCCTGTACTGTGCCAAATTGCTGCATATTTATCATCCGGTGTTCCGCTCGTTGTTGTGAGTGTCACTCCTCCGTTGTTGTTGGAGGGCGAGTGTCGCCAACTGCCAAGTAGAAGCATCCTTCACGAGCCTCCCCGCAGAGGCCGATCTCGATACCACTGGTACCAGTCGTCGGCAAAGCCCACTCAGCTCCACATCCTCCCGTACCGCATCAGTCCACCTCCACTCCAGCCCATGCCATGCCTGCCAAGCTCCCTCCATCCACCCATATACTCACTTACCGGCTTACTCACGCATTCACCCACTCATATCTGGTCATGCACCCACGCATGAAATTTTAAATGCAGGCTACGCAAAGCATCGTGATCAATTTACACCAAAATATACTCTCAATCACTTAAACCACATATTCGTAAATGATGCGCACCCTAATCAGCCACTATGGCTGCGTGCAGGGTGTTGTGATGTCACGTAGTACGACGTTTTTCTTGCTCCCCCCCCCCCCCCCCCGTTATAACGCATTGTCTATCTATGGCCTCGTCACATTGGCCTTAATGGACGCGTGGTGATGGTGAAAGATGATTCGGCGGTGGATACTGAATTGCCGGAGCCCCATTTAACATTCAGGTGACACGGGGCACGGCACGTGAAGAACCTCTTATGTTCTGTAAGCAGACTTCTCTGCGTGGGATAGTTAACACCTCTTAATGCACAGACAACCGCCAACGCAGCCTCGCCTGCCGGAGGAGCTCGCTGATGATCGGACAGTGTTCAGATCTCTCAAGGATCTGTGAGCTACTCGCACACAAAGATCCCCGTGTAGCCTTTAACAGACTGTTGGGGCAAGTGCTTTATAACATCATCAAAGGGGCGCTGCAATACGATGCAATCAAAATCACCGATCAGAGATTTTCCCATATATGGTCTTTGTTGATTGTGAATCGATAGTAATTGTATTGATTCCACTCAGTCGATACAGCAGCAAGCTCAAAATGTCCGATTTTATCTGAAAATTTCTGCGTTTCACAGATCATACAAAGCAACGGTATCGATGCCTGGTTTGTATGTACTTTTTATTTAAAAAATCTTTTTTATTGTAGTCTATCAGACTTTTGTATTAAATCGCTCTGCAAAAAGTCATTTTGTATGCTAATAAATCAATGTTATGCTAATGCAAAATTTCATCATAGCCGCAACTCGGTTTACTCCGATGTGCAATGTCATCTTTATTTCGATCCTGTGAGTGTACAAATTTTTTTATTAAACTTCATTTACTGAGTGAATACAAGACCACTTATATGCTGATGTCCATTTTTATCATAGCTGTGATTCATTCAGCCATTCACTCACTCAGCCACAAACTCACTCAGCCACACACTCACTCAACGACTCACTCAACTACTCAGCCGCTCACTCACTCAGATATTCACTCACTCAACCACTCACTCACTCAATAATTAACTCAACCACTCAACCAATCATTCAACCACCCACTCACTCAATCACTCAACCATCACACTCTCACTCACTCAACCATTCACTCACTCAGCCACTCACTCAGCCACTCACTCAGTCACTCACTCAGTCACTCAACCACTCGCTCACTAAACCACTCGCTCATTCAACCGCTCGCTCACTCAACCATTCACTCACTCAACCACTTGCTTGCTCACTCAACCACTCACTTGCTCACTCAAGCACTCGCTCACTCAACCAATCACCCAACCACTCGCTCAACGATTCACTCAACCCCTCACCAAACCACTCACTCAACGACTCACCAGAATCCTCTCGGCTTGGGGACTCACTTAACCACTCACTTAACCATTCACTTAACCACTCACTAGAGCAACCACTCACTCACTTAATGACTTACTCAACCACTCAACCAATTACTTTCTCACTCACTCAGCCACTCACTCCTTCACTCAGCCACTCACCCTTTCACTCAGCCACTCACTCATTTAGCCACTCACTCAGCCACACACTCAACCACTCAGCCGCGCACTCACGAAGCTACTTACTCACGAAGCTACTTACTCACTCAACCACTCACTCACTTAATCACTTACTCAGCCACTCAACCATCACTCTTTAACTCACTCAACCATTCACTCAATCAGCCACACTCACTCAACGACTCACTAACTTAACCGCTCAGCCGCTCAGTTACTCTATCTCAATCACTCAACCACTCACTCATTCAACCATTCCCGAATTCATTCAACCAGTCACTCAACCATTATGTCGCTGGACGAGTCCCACCTTGATGGGTCTGCGACATTTCTTTCCAGAGTTATTGCCAAAAAACCACAAACATCCCAGAATCCTCTCGGTTTGGGGTCCAAATGTTGTCACTTATTATATCCCATGAGAAACATCGCATCGAATAAATGTGATTGGATTCTCCCCGCCTGGACGAGCAGAATTGAATATGTAAGCATCAGGGTTTGGATCAAACCTACAACCTCCTGTATACCGGGCGAAGTAGTGAACTCGTCACCCGGGTCGCCCTAATCCATTCCCGTATCTCTTCTTCTGTGTGTGTGCTACAGGCGGGTGTCTCAGATTGCCAGCACCATGTGATGGGAGCTCCAGGGCATGCTGCGTGCTCGCCAGGAGGGGCTGGGTAAGATGGCGTAGTCGCTGGAGCAGCTGCGGGCGCGGCACCGTCGCTCTCACCCTGGCGGAGTGCAGCAACACAGTGGAGCGGCACCAGCGGGACACTCTGGACAACGCAGCCAAGGTGCGCGCCAGCCACTCACTCACTCATCCACTCACTCACTCAGCCACACATACAACCACTCACTCATCCACTAACTTAAACCACTCACTCAACTACTCACTCACTCAACCACTCACTCAACCATTCACTCAAACATCCACTTACTCAACCACTCAATCAATCACTCACTCAGTCATTAACTTAACCACTCACTCAACCACACACTCATGCGCTTTAAACACTCACTCATTGGTTCAAACACTCACTCATTCAAATACTCATTCAACCACTCACTAATTCACTCAACCACTCACTCACTGAACCACTCACTCGCTCACTCAACCACCCGCTCGCTCACTGAACCAATCGCTCCATAAATCACTCATTCAGCCACTCACTCAACCATTCACTCACTCACTCACTCAGCCACTCACTCAACCAATCAATCACTCAATCATGAATTAAACCGCTCACTCACTCAACCCCTTACACACAGGCTCATCACCTGTGTCTCAACCATCTTACTGAGTAACATAACTCTTTTTTTAGAAGTGACCTGGCCACAAGTGATAGGTCAACAACGTGCCTTATGTGGAAATATATAGCAGCCAACTACTCTAAATGCCTGTTTCTAAATGTGTAGGGAAAATCCAGAGGACCAGAATAAAAATCCACTTGACCACGGAGAGAACATGCAAACTCCAAATACACAGGTGTCAGGGTTGGGATCTAACCGAAAACCTCCTGTATACCAGACGAGGTAGTTAACATTGTATCCGGGCAAGCCGTACATCGAGCTGGAGTGGACCATGCGGCCCATCCCTATCGCGTGAGTGGCTCCCACTGTTGTTATTGTGTTCATATGTGTGTGGTCTGCTTGTGTGTATGCGTGTGCCGCACTGCGCTATGAACCCAACATGACCAGGCTGTTGCCCCGCTCGCCCGACTCGTTGTGAGGCTTGCCCACCCCCCAGGGCGTTGTCGTGAAGATACCGCTGGGAGGAAGAATATCTCACAATACTGGAAGAGGTGAGGACTACACAGTGATTAACTGAGTGGGTCTGTGAGTGAGTTAGTGGATGAGTCGGTGGGTGAGTCGGTGGGTGAGTGGGTAGGTCAGTGGTTGAGGGAGTAGGTGAGTGAGTGTGTTAGAGAAGTGGGTGTGTTGAATGTGAGTGAATAGATGAGTGTGTGGAGCAGTGGATTGTTGAGTGAGTCGTTGGGTGAGTGAGTAGGTGGGTGTGGGTTAGAGATTGAGTGGGTGGTGGGTGATTGTGTGAATTAGTGGGTGGGTGGGTGAGTGAATGGTTTGAAGTGATTGATTAGGTGAGGGAGTGGGTGAGAGGTGGGTTGGTGAGTGGATGAGAAAATTGGTGGGTTACAGATTGAGTGGGTGGGTAACTAGGTGATTGGGAGGGTGAGTGGGTGAGTGGCTTATTGGGTGAGTAAGTCGGTGGGTGAGTAGGTGAGTGCCTGGATAAGTAAGTGAGTGTATGGAAGCATGAGTGGGTGGATGGTTGAGTAGGTGGGTGAATAGGTGAGTGGGTGGTGGGTGGGTGAATTAGTGAGTGACTGTGTGAGTGAGTGCGTGGGTAGGTCAGTTGGATATTGTGTGGGGGAGTGGGTGAGTGAGGGGTTGAGTGAATAGGTTAGTGGGCGGGTGAGTAGATTGTTGGGTGAGTGGGTGGGTGGGTGAGTCAGTTAGTGGGTGGGTGAGTGAATATCGAAGGTTGAGCAGGTGAGTTGTTAGTGTGTGATTGGGTGGGTGGGTGAGTCAAAGAGTGGGGCACCACGGTGGCGACATGTTAACTACCTCACCTAGTATACAGGATTTTGTGAATTCGATCCCATCCCTTCCACCTGTATATTTGGAGTTGGCATGTTCTCCCTGTGGTGTGGATTTTTTCTCTGGGTCCTCCAGGTTTTCTCTCCATATTTAAAATCAACATTCATTTAGAGGATGTGGCTGCAATGAATGTCTCCATGATAATCCACTTCGTTAACCTATCATTTGTAACCAGGTCACTTCTGAAAAATATTAATTTAGTTATCTGAACCAGAGGTCGCAACCGGGTACCCGATACCCGAACCCTACCCGATACCCGGCTACCTGTACCCGGCCGGGTACGGTACGGGTAGCCGTTTGCGACCTTGGGCGGCCGGGTACGGGTACGGATAGGCCGTGAGTCACTGGTGAGTAACCGTTTGTCACTCATTTCGGGTAGGGTACGGGTACGGGTAGGGAACGGGTACCCGTACCTCTGATCTGAACCTTTTCTGGTAAAATAAAAAATATTGTTTAATTTAGTTTATTGGGTGGGTGAGTGGGTAGGTGGGTTATTGAGTGATTTGCTGGGTAGGTTAGAGAATGAGTGGGTGAATGGGTGGGTGTGTGAGTGGGGGTGTGATTAGTTGAGTAGGTGAGTGGGTGAGTAAATTGTTGAGTGAGTGGATTAGAGATTGAGTGGGTGGCAGGGTGAGTGGGTTTGTGAGTGGGTTGGTGGGTGGTTTTGAATGGGTGAGTGGGTGGAGTGCCGTGGTGGCGAGCTGTTAACTACCTCGCCTTTATACAGGAGGTCGTAAATTCGATCCCGACCCTGACGCCTGGTCGCGTGGAATTTTCTCCAGGTGCTCCGGGTTCTCCCTCCACATTTAAAAACATGCAATTATAGAATTTGGCTGCTATCACTTTATACGTGAAAAGCCACTTAATTGAGTTGAATATTTGTGGTCAAATGGTTTTTGAAAAATATCTATATAGCTGAGTGCCTTACCTGGTAAAATAAAAAAGCGTAATTTTCATTTAGTGTGCAAAGGAGTGGCTGGGTCGGTGAGTGGATGAGTGAGTGCGATGTTTGATGGGTGTTTTATTTTACTTTTATTAATTTACATTTTTTTTACCTACGTGACTTTACCGAAAAAACCTAAGAATAGTTTAATGGGTAGTAGGTCAGTGGTGGGGTGAGTGAGTGTGGGCTAGAGATTGAGTGGGTGGCTTGGTGAGTGGGTGAGTGTGTGCTTGGCTCGGTGGTTGAATGAATGGATGGTTGAGTTAGTGGGTGGGTGTTTGAGTGTGTGTTATCGTGGGTGGGAGAGTCAGAGAGTGGAGTGCCATGTTGGCAAATTGTTAACTACCTTGCCTGGTATTTTTAAGTTCGTAGGTTCGATCCAAACCCTGCTTCTAAAAACAACCTATATAGCTCAGCGGGCCTTACCTGGGGATTTTTTTTTTTAGATTTAGTTAAGGGTGTTGGTGAGTGGGCGGGTGGGTGAGTGCATCAGTGTGGGTTTGAGATTTAGTGGGTGGCTTGGTGAGTGGGTAAGTTCGAGTAACTTAGTGGTTGAGTTAGTGGGTGGTTACGTTAGTAGGTGATTAAATTAGTGGGTGGGTCAATAATTACGTGGGTAGTGGGTGAGTGGCTGAGTGGCTGAGGGAGTCGGCGGGTGGTTGGCTGGGTGGGTGGGTGGGTTATAAATTGAGTAGGTGGCAGGGTGAGTGGATCTGAAAGTGGGTGAGTGAGTAGGTGCACGGCTGGGTGAGTTAGTGAGTGGATGGTTGAGTGAGTGGGTGAGTGTGTGGGTGCATGGATGTGTGGGTGGGTGAGTGTGTGTGGGTAGGAGGTTAGGTGGGTAGTGCGTGAATGGATGGGTTAGAAATCGAGTGAGTGGGTTAGTCACTGGGTGAGTGAGTGGATGGGTGGGTTTGTGAGCTTTGGTTAAGAGATTGAGTCAGTAGCAGGGTTTGTGTGTGGTTTAGAGATTGAGTGGGTGGTTGGGTGAGTGGGTGGGTGGGTGGGTTAGAGATTGAGTGGCTCGGTGAGGGAGTATTGGGTGGGTGAAGTGAGTTGGTGGGTCGGTGAGTGCGTGGGTGGGTGATTCAGTAAGTGGGTGAGTGAGGGGTTGGGTGAGCGATGGGTTGAGTGGGTGTCTTTTTGTTCGTGAGTTTGTGGGTGGGTGAGTTGGTCAGTTAGTGGTTGGGTGAGTAAGTGGGTGGGTGAGCAAGTGAGTGAATGGGTGTGTTGGTAGGTGAGTGTGTAGCTTGGTGAGTGTTCGTAGGGTGAGTGGGTCGGTGAGAAAGTGGTTAACGGAGTGAGTGGTTGGGTGGGTGGGTGAGTTGTTGACTGAGTGGGGTCAGCGAGTGGGTGGGTGAGTTGATGTGGGAGGTTGAGTGGGTAAGTTAGTGTTTGAGTTATTGGATGGGTAAGTCAGAGAGTGAGGCGCCAAGGTGGTGAGACGTGCACTGCCTCGCCTGGTATACAGGAGGTTGTGGATTCGATCCTGACCCTGTCGCCTGTATATTTGGAGTTTGCATGTTCTACACATGGTCACGTGGATTTTGCTGCAGGTCCTCCGGGTTTTCCCCTCTGCATTTAGAATCAACATGCGTTTAGAAGATTTGGCTGCAATAAATGTCTATGTGATAAGCCACTTCGTTTATCTATAATTTGTTCACAGGTCTATTCTGAAAAGGATCTATATAGCTCAATGGGCCTTACCTGGGGAAATAAAAAGTAGTTTAGTTTAGGGGGTAGGTGCCTCGTTGGGTCGGTAGGTCTGTTGCAGGTCGAGTAGGTGGCAGGGTGAGTGGGTGAGTAGGTAAGTGGCTGGGTGAGTGGGTGGACTGGTGAGTGTGTGAGTTAGAGATAGAGTGGGTGGATGGGTGGGTGTATGATTGGGAGAGTGAAATGGTGAGTGGATGGGTGAATGAATTGTTGAGTGAGTGAGTCAGTGAGTGGGTGTGTAGGTGGGTGGTTAGCAAGGTGTGTGGGTCTTTGAGTGGGTATGTGGCTGAATGGGTATATGGCTGAATGGGTATGTGGCTGAATGGGTATGTGGCTGAATGGATATGTGGCTGAATGGGTATGTGGCTGAAGTGGGTATGTGGCTGAATGGGTATGTGGCTGAATGGGTATGTGGCTGAATGGGTATGTGGCTGAATGGGTATGTGGCTGAGTGGGTATGTGGCTGAGTGGGTATGTGGCTGAGTGGGTATGTGGCTGAGTGGGTATGTGGCTGAGTGGGTATGTGGCTGAGTGGGTATGTGGCTAAATGGGTATGTGGCTGAGTGGGTATGTGGCTGAGTGGGTATGTGGCTGAATGGGTATGTGGCTGAATGGGTATGTGGCTGAGTGGGTATGTGGCTGAGTGGGTATGTGGCTGAGTGGGTATGTGGCTGAGTGGGTATGTGGCTGAGTGGGTATGTGGCTGAGTGGGTATGTGGCTGAATGGGTATGTGGCTGAATGGGTATGTGGCTGAATGGGTATGTGGCTGAGTGGGTATGTGGCTGAGTGGGTATGTGGCTGAGTGGGTATGTGGCTGAATGGGTATGTGGCTGAGTGGGTATGTGGCTGATGGGTATGTGGCTGAAGTGGGTATGTGGCTGAAGTGGGTATGTGGCTGAATGGGTATGTGGCTGAGTGGGTATGTGGCTGAGTGGGTATGTGGCTGAGTGGGTATGTGGCTGAAGTGGGTATGTGGCTGAATGGGTATGTGGCTGAAGTGGGTATGTGGCTGAGTGGGTATGTGGCTGAGTGGGTATGTGGCTGAGTGGGTATGTGGCTGAGTGGGTATGTGGCTGAGTGGGTATGTGGCTGAGTGGGTATGTGGCTGAATGGGTATGTGGCTGAATGGGTATGTGGCTGAATGGGTATGTGGCTGAATGGGTATGTGGCTGAGTGGGTATGTGGCTGAGTGGGTATGTGGCTGAATGGGTATGTGGCTGAGTGGGTATGTGGCTGAGTGGGTATGTGGCTGAGTGGGTATGTGGCTGAATGGGTATGTGGCTGAGATGGGTATGTGGCTGAGTGGGTATGTGGCTGAGTGGGTATGTGGCTGAGTGGGTATGTGGCTGAGTGGGTATGTGCTGAGTGGGTATGTGGCTGAGTGGTATGTGGCTGAGATGGGTATGTGGCTGAGTAGGGTATGTGGCTGAGAGGGTATGTGGCTGAGAGGGTATGTGGCTGAGTGGGTATGTGGCTGAGTGGGTATGTGGCTGAGTGGGTATGTGGCTGAGTGGGTAGGTGAGTGG